ATTGCCGCGACGTCCACAGCTGGTTTTCCATCAGCTGCAGTTTCTTCCTGAGCGCTTCGTTCTCCTTCTGGTGTTTATATATCTCCATTTTCCACGCCGCTGATCGATCCTCGAAAAGCTTACAAATTTCTGCCACGGCCGCTTTCGCTAAAATGTCCATTATAGAAGCCAGCTGAAGCTGGAAATCAGCGGAGACCAACATGTTGACAAATATCTGGCTACTTCGCCTACTAAAAATGTGCCCAACAACCATACAATAGTACCACCAAAACTACCACGCTTGTTCTGCGGTATTTCCTGATACTTTAACACGGGCTCCACCTAGAGCATGGGAGTACGTGATTCCCACCTCCAATTTCAAATAATGTACTGTTTGGCAGGTTCCGGATTTTCATATTTACGTGGTCTATTATTATTATTATATCCATCTTCTGTAATCGCTTGCTCTCTTTAGCGTCACGGGGGGTCCGGAGCCTACTGGCGCAAAGAAACAACCCAGCATGGGGCGCCAGCCCATCGCAGGGCAAAACTCACACACCATTCAGTCACACAAGCATACTTATGGTAACTCCAGTTACCCTCAGCATGTTTTTGGACTGTGGCGGGGGGGACCTGATCACCCGGAGGAAACCCCACGACGATACGGGGAGAACTTGCAAACTCCACAAACATGTAACCTGGGCAGAGACTGGAACCCAGGTCCCAAAGAAGTAATAATAATTAATAATTTACACTTTATTAATCCCCGTGGGGAAATTCCGTAAAGTGAGGTGACCCCTATTATTATTGTTATTATTATTATTTATTATAGGAGTAGTAGTAGTAGCTAATAGTAGTACCAGCTGCTTTATGATGACATTATGTTGAGTGATTTTTGTTGTATACTGTAGTTGAATGAATTTCTGCCTTTGGTTTTGATTACAGTGTGTTAAATTCCCGTACACTCCAATGATTAAAGTTATGGAGATTTTTTTTTTTAACTCAAGCTCGTACATGCCACAATTTCAATTGAACTGGGCGTTGGCGATGCCTACGCGGAACTAAACTGGAACTGGGATTGTGTGGACTGACGGAAATCTTCTTAGAACGGTATGATCCCTGCATGATTCACTAAAGATTCAAGGAAAGAAGTTTCTCTTTATTCTGGCAATGAGAAATTCGGTCGTTATTATGTTGCCTATCGTTATCTGTTACCTAATCAAAATTGTAAGACTCCCCTCCAAATAATAATTTATTATTCAGTTAAGTCGAATAAATGACCATTGTTGTGAGTATTCGAAACGTGAGTCCTGAGTGATAATATAGGCTACTTGCTATTTTTATTTTTACCGCTAGATGGAAAACTAATCTTTCTGCTAGTTGTGTCCATCGGCATGATTCCCGATCATCTTCCAGGTTTTTACACATCATTTTCCTCCGGAACTATATAAACACTAAAAATAATTGTATTATATCTAATTAATAAATTTAGCCAAAGACAAATTTCAAATATATCGACAGAATATTCACCTCACGTCGGGTATTCTTTCAGAAAAAGGTTAATTTTCGAAAGACAAACTTAAGGTGTCATACAGAACAGCTTATTTTTTTCTTTTACAGTGGTAAGCGATAAATGAAGGTTTTCAGACCATATTTCACCATTTTCCTCATCGTGACGACAATTACATTGTTGAACGGATGGGATGCAGGCTCACTTCCCCAAAGGGCCCCTACAACTTTCATACATATACGGGTAAATATTAATATGAGTTAATATGAACTTTCTGTATAATCTGAATGGTATGACAAGCCTCTGAAATGCAATCAGTAGCAAATCAATAGCAACCACACGCAATGCAGCAGATTTTTGGTTATTACTAATCAGAGCGATGCTGTACTATTGAGTCAGTCGTCTTGTAATTTGTCTAAACCATTTATAAAATATATCTTTATGAGTCTTGATGTAGCCGAATATGAAGTGCGTCGGCTATATTTTAAATTCCATAGTGAGCAATACCTGATAAGCCACATTTATGTATTTAACCAGAGGTTAACAATCCATATGAAACAAAAGTCATTCATTCTATACAAATCCCAGAACTGAACGAATATGTGTAGTATCACGCTTTTGTAAAGACGCAGTTTTACATCAAACTCCACATACTATAAACGTCAGGACCAATGCTAACCCATGGCCTAATTTTACTCATTTTGTATTTCCGGCGAGAATTTTATTATCACAGGTAATATAATTCCCGTTGGGCAATTGTTGCTAACATGTGATCTCATACGTCACACGTAATTCCTAATACTACAGTCTATGTATTTCCATCTCCTCTTTCTCGTCGAAATTAAGCAAAAAGATATACTCTCGATAATAACGTACCGTAAAACCTTAGCACATTGAATAATTTTGTCTACGAACCCAGGTATTGTTGTATAATAAGTTAGTTGTAAATGAATATGGAATGACTTTTATTAAAGAATCTAGACTCCAGAAATAATGTAGGGATATTCGTTGTTATTGTTAATTCAGTTGCTATTACTAGTAATTGCAACGTTTACGAACAATAACATGTTTAAATTTTTTATTGTTGTAAGGCAACAACAATTAACCAGTTCAATTTCGTCATTACTAATACCAACCTATGCATTGCAGTCAGTGCAATGACAGCGAAGTGCGTTTCGGAGAATTGAAATAAAACTGTGTAATTACGGTAAACGGTGCATTCCTGGTTTCCTCCCATTAGCCCCGCCTGTCCTGCGCGTGCTTCCCTACTCCAAACTTAGCGGAGGGTATACAGAGCACGAAAGGGAGGAGGAAAGAAAAGAAAGGGAAGAAAGGGAGCCAGGAAGAAAGGAACCAAGCGGAGACCCAACGAGGGAAAAGGGGGAAAGGTGGGTTAAAGGAGATGGGATAAAGGAATCGAAGATGCATAAAGTGGGACTTTTAATTGTTGCAAGCGCGTGAGCTCGAGGGTTGTCAGGAGGCGGCCGCTGGGACTGGCGACGACCGGGGAAGACAGGAGTCTCTAACGGACAAGTGGGGTTAAAAACGCCCGAATCTCGCTCAGCTCGGGCTTCCCAGTGGTCCTTGTCGTGAAGTTGCCCCCGGAGTCCGTGTTAATAGGCCTGCTGGGTGATTATGCAACGGCATCGGTGCGAGTAATGCTTGAATTAAACAATGTACGGCTGGCTTTCCTCAGGAAGGCGTAGCTGCGGCGATCTGACGGCGTGTTTTGTTGCAGCTGCCCGCTGCCTCGTTAGCTTAGCCTCGTTAGCTTAGCGCCCTTAGCTTAGCAGCGCCGCGTCCGGCCAGTGGACGCCTGGCTACTGTGAGTTGGCTATCCGTTCTGCCTCGGTAGGCTTCGGCTCCGTTTGTTGTTTGTTACGTTTAATTTCTAGCTGGCGGTAGCTAACGATACGTACAGCAATACTGGGGATTTTAATTCCGGTTTTTCTTTCTTTTGTTTGTTCAGTAGCAGTGGCACTCGTATCTGGTTTATTCGGCTGGTCTGGGGTTATGCTGCAGTACGTGTGTGTGTTTGACACGGATAGAGCCGGATTTTGTGCGTTTTTATCGGGCCCGGGGAACTTTTTCCCTTCGGATAAGGGATTGGACGGCTGCCCGCATGATGCGATACAACCTCCGTCCGGCTAAGGCGAGCTATCTCCGGCCAGGCGCGAGCCCTGTAAGGACACCATTTATTTATTTCATTCCAAAAGCAGACACAAAGGGAAAAGTTGGATTGCTAGCCGACTAGCCACGTATGTCGGTTCGGATAATGGGTAACCAGCGATTTAGCTATTTTTGTCACCTATGGTAATTGGCAAACGACGTCGTCCCTGAAACATTTTTACTTCCGAGGAAAAAAGCGCTTTAATGGCCTTTGTATTTGCAGTTATATTTTTAAGCAGAGCGACTGCCTTTTGAGGGTTAAGTTTAGTCGTGTTTAAAGGTCTTCGGAGAGCCGCGGTGGTGTGGATGGTGTTGACAATGCGGCTCGTCGCCACCTAAACCAGGCGTGATTCCCGCAATCCCTCGCTATATGCAGATATCTCTCCTTCGCTACCTGGATTATGTGCCCGTCACCATCCTTCAGAATGTGTCATATGCTGCGTTTTTTCTTTTGGTTGCGAGCATAACTCGAGGCAGTGATACTGTGACACCCCATAGTCAACTCACATAATACTTTAGTAGTAAAAGGCGTAGTGATCGTATTCTGATCGTGAATACTGTGCTTTTTCGTGCGCGCACAACATTCACCGCAGTTTAAAATGCTTAAACATTGTATTTTTGAACACCACAAAGACTAATTCTTAAGGTTTAAATACCAACATACTTTGCTTTCTTTTTTTTTTAGTTTGACTAAAACCCTTGCGGTATTATCGGAGGTAACGCTGTCACCTGATACTGCAGACGGGGCAGCTGCAACAACAGGTAAGGTAAGAGAAGGGATTCGTGTCTTTGTATAATGGCCTCGCCGATTTAATTGTTCTTGGCATTTATTTCGTACCCGAAAAAGCGATAGTAATATTTAAACGAGAACTGGGTGCGATTTCACGTAACTTCTGCGTGTTTATTTCCTGACATTTGCTTGGGAAATTGGACCGAAATAGAATCGTGGGTATGCTGAACTGACTGGATGAAATTTGTTTTTGCTTTGTCTTTGGACATTTGTCTCGGGATAAAATGCTATAGGCGAAGTGTCGCGGTCAGGCAGCTTTGGTGTTTGTAAAACCAGATTTGTTGCCAAAGTTATAGGCGTCCTGAATGAAAGGTGTTGAATTTTGACCGTTTGGTGGATCTTGGTAAACTGGTATAATAGGTCGAGAGAGAGGCTGATGACTTCAGGATGTGTGTTAAATTTCAGCTTTGGTGCTTTTTAAGAACCTGTTGGGTGGGTCCGTGATCTACTGTGTCTAGGAGGGGCTGGGTGTGGTTAATCCATCTATGTGAAATACTCCTGCGCTAGGAGAAGTGTCAACTTCTCCAGTTAAGCCAATTAATGTGACAACGCGAGACACATTTTTATTGCTGTGGAAATTGCTGTCTAAAACGTGTTTCGATTCTGAAGTGTTATGTGTAGTTTTTTTATTACTGGATTTAATCTTGTATCGAATATTCAGGCTTTAACGGTCCGTTTTAATACAAAATAAAAGCTCTTCCACTAATCATCACTTGTGAGTTTTAAGATGCATATGTGTATGGTAGATGTTCTTCGTCCAACTTGCCGGAAAGAATGCCAGATATGTTTGTGCTTTAAAACGGTCTGCGTGTAACAGCCAGATTCTCTTGGGAGACGTGAGGAGCTGCGTTTTCTTTGCAGTGTCGTGAAGCTGATTATTGCAGTGTATCATATTCGTATACTGCTACAAAGCACAATGCCTGTACTTGTCTTGGGTTTGCAGATGGCCTGTTGTGACCTTGCCCCCATGTAAACAAACCAGAAATTGCCTTAGCAGTGCAGTAGCTTAGTTGGTGTTGGGAGTTAGGATGGTGTTTCCCACCTGACCGATTTTGTTTTGGAATTCTGGGTAATTTTACACTCCGTGTGCTATATAAATATTTTGATATTGATATGTTCACACTGTCTCATAGTATTTGTCTTGTTTTTGTGCAAGAATATTTCCCCATGTCATAGGCTGGCTTTTATGTGTGCAGGTATTCATATGCCATTCCATCAATAAGTCAGACTTTATTAAATGGATTTTGCCATGTGCAGTGAACTTAATGTTTGTTTCAATTCCACAGTGTCGGGACAGGTGTCTGGTTGAGACTTCTCATTTTTCAGTGCTGCAGTCTGCTTATTTGGTGCACTCTGTCTAGTGCCACAGTTCGAAGTGGATCAGCTGGGTAAAACCCCATACCCCATTAGGACATGTGGACTTAAATCACTGGTTGATTAACGCAGACAACTTCACCAGAATCACTGGTACTACTGCTGTTGTGCGTGAGAGGTTAGAGATCGAGCTGGCCGCGATGCTGTGTTTGAGTGGTCAGACATGCTGGCAGAGCCGTAGATATTCAGTTGCTTTTCACCTAATGACTAATTTGCACATGGTTTCAACGTGGCTGTGTAGGCATAGGAAGTTCTTTTGAGAAGTCTGGCACGGTGAAAATAGCTTTGAAAGTCATGTCTTTAAAATCTTTGGCACACTAGCAGAATGTCAAGGATGCTGTTCGTAAAGTATTTAGTGGCAATTATTTGGGTAATGCCGCTGTATAAAAAAAAAAAATAGAAAAAAAATTTGGCCATGCTCTGGGTCCCTATTGTCCTTGGCAAAGAGGCATATTTTGCAGCTTTTGAGAGTAAAGCTATATGAAGCTGGTTGCTTGCTATAGGGCTTGTATGCTGATTATTTCACGCTCTGTTAACATGCTGGCGACTTGCTGGACAAATGCAGCCACGTCCTCGTTTTCATGCAGGAAGATCTGCTGAGATGCTGGTCTGAGAGGGTTAAGTCAGCTCTGCTCCGGTCATGTGACTGGCTTGCCACTGCACTACATGAACCCTGTGTTGACAGCGCCGGGCTGAAATACATTGAAAAGAGGGGACACTGGGTAAGCGGTCTGCTGGGTTCATTGACACCACACCAAGGGAGGGTCAAATCTGGTAAAGAATGTGACCCCCACAGTAAAGTGCCAAATGCTTAACAGTAACTTAAAGTAATGCTGTGGGGAATTGTAGCAGCTTGATCCCTGGCCATGGAGGAGAGAGGGTTACTGCAATGCTGTGCTGGCATGCTTTTTTATGTAGAAAAAAGTGGTTTAGTCTGTAGGTCTAAGTGCTTCCTGTGGGTTTAAAGTACTGTGTGGAGATCTGGTGTTTCAGGGTCATTCAGTCTTCGTCAGTAGCCTCTCGCAGGCTTCCTCTTCAGTGCTTGCTGCACCGCCCTGCTTCTGTGCTAATCTCATCCCCACCCCTTTCACTTTTTGGCGTGGTTTCTGAGTCTTTCACATTACCTTCGATACTTAGGATATCTTGTCATGTCGAATGGATCTTAAATTGCAGTTGCACATCAGTCACATTGCTGGTTTTACACTTTCATATGATTATCAAGCTTTTTTTCAAGTTTTTTGCTTTTTTTTTCCCCATCAGTTTATTTTTAGACATGCAAGTATTACCATCTTCCAGTGCTGTCTGCTGTCTTGTGATTTTTAATAAGTCTCTGACTAACAGAACTGTTCATAGAGAATGAATCGCAGGTGTCCGCAGAGCCTCTGTGCAGGGTAATAAATGGATCAGCTATGTGAGAAGGCAGTAATGTGAGTGTCTGTCATAGATCCAGACCTTAATGAGTGTGTGGAGTTATTTAGTGATACCTCTCATCCCTGGTTGTAGTGAAACCATACAGCTGTGTGTGATGACTGCTGTCAGCATTGCCCCTCGTTGCACAAGAAAGGATTCCTTTATTTTGCCTACTAATAAAGGTGCCGATTGCTGGGTAGGTGGAGAGGAGGGGGTTTGCACAGTAATTAGGGGCAATAGTGTGTGCATATGTGTTGAATGAGAGACGTGTGGGGGGGGGTCTGAAAACAGGAAGGTCCCCATGTATTTTCAGCAGTCAGGTGGTGCTCATGTCATCCCCATTGTTTTAGAACTGGGCGTGGAGTGCGCAGCCATTCTCCAGAACTGTAATAACAAGAGCGTGGACCTGCCGATTTGCTTGAAACCCAGGAAAACAAAAAGCTTTGTTATACAGCAAGACAAAGAGTGGCTTCCTGCTGCCAGGAATTACTATCATTCCAATTTACGTGGGCATCTGATGCATTGCTGTCCAGGCTAAAAACACTCAGGATTACTTTTGATAATCTGACTGTGAAACGTCTGTGTGTTTGTACGCGAGATCCCAGAAACATGTCTCAAGTGCCAGCGTATGGCTATGTCTTATGCCTGTTACTCACAGGAAGTGTCAGTGTACAGTTACTGACATTAATGCTGCTCCATATGGATGTCTCTACATAATTTTAAAAAAATTTTTTGAAACGATGTACGATATGGAAAAGCTGCTGAGGGAATGTAAGAGTTGTTGAGCGTTGGGGGGGTGTACCTCCTGTGTGGGGGTGAGGAATGTGAAGCAAGGAGGTAGCAGAAGAGGGGTGGGAGAGGAAAATTAGCTAAGAGCAAAGGAGGAAGAGGCTGGGGAAGAGTGGGTGGTGGTAAGGAAGAGGAAGACCGGACACACCTGACTGATGTGAAGATGTGATAATCAGCCTTCTGAATTCCTGATTAACATGGTAGTTCCTGAACAAACCGGGCTCTTGTGGTTTTGTTTCTAGGGTTAACAGCAGGGTGCTTTCCTGGACTCGAAGTTGTCGTTTTTGGACGTCATGGGTAGAACGCAGTCGAAATGGAGGGTGGCATTAGATGGGCAGGATGAGAACAGAGCGACAGATATGGTCCCTGTTGCCTATGTCAAGAGTTGAGGATTCATGCAGGAGGTCCCTGTCCCTGTGAAACTCCAACACAGACTCATAACATCCTGTTACTCAGGAAGCTGCGATATTCGGAAAAGGGGGCAGGGGGGTCATGGTTGGTGGGGGGTGGAGTGTTGTTCATTGTTTGACAAAATTCATACTGGTTTAATGTGGAGCTGCGTGTTTGCTGGGGGTCCTGCAGAAATCACCCGAGATGATATGGCTGATAGGCACAGACAAGGCCCTGCAATCCCTCGCTGCTGCTCTTAATCAGCAGTGTTTGTTTCCAGCATCATTGGACAGGATATGAAATCTGGTAATCTTTGTTCAGAAATAGACTCGCAAACGCCTAGTGAAAATGTATGTTTTTAATCACAAGGATGACGAATATGTATCAGTTTAACGTCCAAGACGTGTTTGCAAGACAATTCTGCGGTGCAAATTCCTGCGATGATGACCGAACTCGTATGCCTGAAATGGGCAGAAGTATGTAGCAATAACTGAGAAACTAAAATAAACATTAAATTCTAGACCACGGTTGCGTGTGTGTCCGTAGAAGCACAGGTCAGTGTTGGACATTCTTTGCTTGATTTGTGTGTGTCACAGCTGCCGCAGTGGCCCATCTTTCACTCTGCGCCCCTTTTTGTCTCATGGATTTAAAAAAATACAGCTGTGAATGCTGTGTGACGCTTAACCCGCACGGCAGATTAAAGTGATGGGCACCTCAGACCATCTGCTGGTTAATTATACATCACCTATGCACTTAAGTTACAGCCGCAGCAGCAAATGGTACTGCACATTGATCCTTTATATTACAACTGTTATTTCTATTTTTGGCTTTGGCGGACATGAGGGGGGGTGGGTGGCATATTGTTTTTATGCTTTTGGATTTGGTTTGGGATCTGAAGTTGAGTTTGTTACTCTGCCTAGAATGTGTTAATGATGGGAATTCTAATTTCGATCCCGCACAATAAAAAAAAATAAAATAAAAATTAACTAATTCTGGCAGCAGGCAATTCTACTT